GTTCGCGTGCGCGATTAAAAGTCCTACCGGGGACTTCGTTTTGTTTGCTCGAATATTCGATTAGTTTTTTTAGAGTAGAGTCACCGTTTTTCGAACACTTGCGTGGGTGTCCGGGCGCGATTAAAAGTCCTATCATGGACTTCGTTTTAGTGTTGAAATTCGGAGTGCGCTTCGGATTTCAACTTAGAGTCACCGTTATTCTAACACTCACGTAAGTGTTCGTGTGCGCGATTAAAGGTCCTAACGAGGACTTCGTTTTATTTCCTCGATATTTCGATTAGATTACTTCGCGAATTTGGATAGAACAGTAGAATCTACGTAATTATAACACACGTGAGTGTCGCGAACGCGATTAATTCGTTTTGATTGTTCGAAATTCGGAAGCACGAATTCAGATGTGCTTAATAATCCGTTATACCTGAGGCGGAGGGTGTTGAACGGTAAAGCTTTCTGTAAGCGGAGTCCCTGTAGCTAAGGCTAGATACTTCCTGTTAGCTTTGAACCATGCCCAAAATATCCGAAGCGGAAGGTATAAGGGTCGGTATCGCGGAACGCGGATTTTAGAGTAAAGTAGAGTCACCGTTAGCCCGTGGGTCTCCACATGCAGCAACCTCCACGTGGTGAGACCTGGATCGTTAATACTAGCAATGTTTAATTGTAAATTTTTAAATGCAAGTATTAACGAGCGAATGGCTGCATATTGTATTACTTTTCCAATATCTTTTCAAACTAATTCCAACTAAACATTAACATATTTGCATTTTATATAGCTAATAATACTTCAAAAGAAGAAATATAGCAGAAATCTATTGTACAATAATTTCTCAGAGAAACGAAAAGGAAATTTTTCTATCACACTTTTGTGTCCGGTTGTCATTTTTATTCTTTTTCTTATTTACTGTCATTAATTATACTCTATATATATCTCGGGTGGGACCCACGGGTGGGGCCTGTGGGCGAGGGCTTCTGTGCGGGTTGCTGTCTCAGTATCATATAGAACTGTTTCTCTTGTCTTTTGGTGCTCTCTATTCTTCTCTTTCTGGGACTCTCTTTTCTTTCTCCGACTCTCGTTTCTATCTCATATTTTTCTTTTTGATTTCTTTTATGTTTTCAATTATGTTATTATTATGTTATTTCCTTTTAATTATGTATTCTTCATATTTATTTATGTTGTTTCTTTCTAATTATATATTTATTTATGTGTTTAATTAGATGTTTATGTTTTTAATTATGTTTTTAATTATGTTTATTTTCTGTTTATATTATATATATATTATGTTTTCTTTTATGTATTTTTTATTCTTTCTCTTATTTTCTGCTTAACCTCTTCTTTTTCAGGATAGGTCATCGAGGGATAGGTTCATCAGCAGCGGGATGATTCGTCGCATGACAGGATTCATCATCGATTTCTACTCGCGAATACGGGAAGGATAGGAAGAACACTGGCGCGCGTGTCGGCGGGCACAGGCGTGGGTGTTCTCGGGCGCGATTAAACTTCGTTTGATTGTTCGAATCGAAAACGCGAATTTAGAGTAGAGTCACCATTTCCCTAACACTCGCGTGGGTGTTCGGGCGCGATTAAAGGTCCTACCGTGGACTTCGTTTGATTTCTTCAAAATTTCGATGGGGGTACTTCGCGAATTTCGGCTTAACAGTAGAATCTACGTAATTATAACACACACGTGAGTGTCGCGACGCGATTAGTATTTCTGAGTGCGCTTTGTTTGTTCGAAATTCGGAAAGCACGAATTCGAATGTGCTTAATAATCCGTTATGTCTGAAGCAGACGGTGCAAAGGTGGAGCTATCTGTAAGAGGTGTGTTGTAGCTAAGCTACGCATACCCTGTTAGTTAAGAAGCCAGTGCATTGAAGCGGAAAGGTATCGCGGATCGGTATCGTGGAACGCGGATTTTAGAGTAGAGTCACCGTCAGCCCGTGGGTCTCCACATGCAGCAACTTCCACGTAGTGAGACCTGGGTCGTTAATATTTGCATAATCTAATTGTAAATCTTATAATGCAAGTATTACCGAGCGAATGGCTGCATATTTTTTATTTTTCCAATATCTTTTTAATTTAATTCCAACTGAACATTAATATTTTTTGACTTTATGTCGCTAATAATACTTCAAACGAAGGAATATGGCAGAATTCTATTGTACAATAATTTCTCAGAGAAACGAAAAGGAAATTTTTCTATCTCTCTTTTACGTCCACTGTCATTTCTATTAATTCTTATTTACTCTCATTAATTATCCTTTATATATCTCGGGTGGGACCCACGGGTGGGGCCTGTGGGCGAGGGCTTCTGTGCGGGTTGCTGTCTCAGCATCATATAGAACTGTTTCTCTTGTCTTATCTTTTTGGGACTCCCTATTTTTCTCTTTTTGGGGCTCTCTATTTTTTCTCCGGCTCTCGTTTCTATCTCATATTTTTCTTTTTGATTTCTTTTATGTTTTCAATTATGTTATTATTATGTTATTTCCTTTTAATTATGTATTCTTAATATTTATTTATGTTGAATCTTTCTAATTATGTATTTATTTATGTGTTTAATTATGTGTTTATGTTTTTAATTATGTTTTTAATATATTTTTATTACTTATGTTTTATTAGCTTTAGGTAGGACCCATGGGTTGGTGCATGCTGCTTTTCTTTTCGTTTCTTTTTCTAGGTCTCTTATGTATTTATATATTTTTATTTTCTATTTGTATTTTATATATGTGTATATTTATTATTTTCTGTTTTATATATTTTTTTGTTCTTTTATTTCCTCTTTATCTTTTTCTTTTACACGATAGGTCATCGAGGGATAGGTTCATCAGCAGCGGGATGATTCGTCGCATGACAGGATTCATCATCGATTTCTACTCGCGAATACGGGAAGGATAGGAAGAACACTGGCGCGCGTGTCGGCGGGCACAGGCGTGGGTGTTCTCGGGCGCGATTAAACTTCGTTTGATTGTTCGAATCGAAAACGCGAATTTAGAGTAGAGTCACCATTTCCCTAACACTCGCGTGGGTGTTCGGGCGCGATTAAAGGTCCTACCGTGGACTTCGTTTGATTTCTTCAAAATTTCGATGGGGGTACTTCGCGAATTTCGGCTTAACAGTAGAATCTACGTAATTATAACACACACGTGAGTGTCGCGACGCGATTAGTATTTCTGAGTGCGCTTTGTTTGTTCGAAATTCGGAAAGCACGAATTCGAATGTGCTTAATAATCCGTTATGTCTGAAGCAGACGGTGCAAATGGTGGAGCTATCTGTAAGAGGTGTGTAGTAGCTAAGCTACGCATACCCTGTTAGTTAAGAAGCCAGTGCATTGAAGCGGAAAGGTATCGCGGATCGGTATCGTGGTACGCGGATTTTAGAGTAGAGTCACCGTCAGCCCGTGGGTCTCCACATGCAGCAACTTCCACGTAGTGAGACCTGGGTCGTTAATATTTGCAAAGTCTAATTGTAAATCTTATAATGCAAATATTACCGAGCGAATGGCTGCATATTGTATTACTTTTCCATAATTTTTTAAATCTAATTCTAACTAAACATTAACGTTCTTCCCTTTTACATTTCTAAGAACTTCAAATAAATAAATGGTTAGATGTAATAGAACACTAGAGTGAATATTTAGAGAAAAGCACAAAAAGCTTTTCTATCACACTTATGTTCTCAAACATTCCCATTTATTCTCATTTTCTCGTATTTATTGTTATTTATAATTCTCGGGTTGTACCGATGTATGTTATATGTGCTAAATACGATATCGGTATGTATTTGTTTTGCGATAAATACAGAAATACTAATAAATATAATTAAAATATTATATTGTAAATAAATTATATTATAAATGAGAAACTAGACAGATCGGAATGTCTGAAATACGTCTGGAAAGCTGCTTGTACGGGCGATAATTGCGTAACATGTTAGTAAGAACGAACAAGAAAGACCTATGTGAAGGTTCCTGAGCGATCTTGATTGTTTACATCTGTTTTTGCCGGTATGTATTTACGTTCTAAGTTCACGTAATAATATGTATACAAACACATGAATGGCAATTGTTTCTTGTTTTTGTACTTGTCAGAATGGAAATTAATAAACATTAATGGAGAAACTTTTAAAGTGTTATCTATATCTTAATACTATCTTTCTTTCTCTCTCTCTTTTTCCCTTTCTTCCTTTCTCTTCCTCTCTCTCCCTCTCTCTTTTTCCCTTTCTTCCTTTCTCTTCCTCTCTCTCCCTCTCTCTTTTTCTTTCTATTAAGAATATTTATTTAAAAACAAATAAATTTACGTGTGCGTATAAGACAATTGTGTTTCAATGATTTTTTAGCATACTAAGTGTTTTCATAAGCGTAAGAAATTTTCTTATTTTGTAAATTAACTTGGAAAGCTGACAAATATTAGATCGATATTAGTAAAGTAGAAAATTAATTGCATACGAATGTTTATACGCGTACAGGATTTATCAATATTTATATTTGTTCCTAAAAAAGATATCTATACGTATACGTATATGAAAATCGTATATACGACGAAATACAATCGAACACGATTAATTAACGGAAAACTATTAATTAGAGCAACGTTAGAAGACAAAAAAAGTATCATTATTGTGAAAATAAAGTTGGAAAATCCGAAAAATAAATATAACGTCATAGCTCCACAGGATAAATCAAATCATCGATTTTATTTTCGTGGATATCTTTTAAACAACGCGATGCCAATATATCTACAAGACGAAGCCTGTACACCGACACGATAAATGCATGGTCGATACAATGTTCTCCATTTGCGCTTGTAGTTCATATTTTATCCATACCTGTCGCTGAAGTCGCACACGCTTCGAGCGAAAGGTGATGAACGGTCTTTAGAAAAGATCTCCAATTTTCAATTTTTTTTTATTCAATCTTTTCATTAATATTACTAAATATTGATAATTTCTTTTATCAATAATTGAGATTGTTAAGGATTTTGTAAAAAAAGTTTTTGTTAATGTAATTAATAGCAGTAATATAATCAATTTGTCTCTGAGTTAATTCTACTATCAAATATAAAGTATCAACTACATGCTTTTAGTTCGTGTCAATCGTATATAATACTCCGGTAAGTCAGTTCGATGATACGAGTGTCATTTGTATAATCAAAACAATGGCTGGATCTGCGTTAAGACGATTAATGGCCGAATATAAGCGTAAGATAATAATTGTTTCGTTATTTTAATCGTATTACATTGGTCTATTCCATATGTTTGTAAAATGTTTATAGCATTATACTCGTGCATAAAAATCAATGATATCGTTACAATATCCTTATAGAATTAACCTTAAATCCACCAGAAGGTATAATTGCTGGACCATTAAGCGAAGAAAATTTTTTTGAATGGGAAGCATTAATTACGTACGTATTTATAATATAATATTATCTAACAATTTAGTGCTGAATCATTCATTTGCCGTAGATACATATTCAACAAATGATTATATATGAAATATATTCTCAAAAGATATATAAAATAAGTATAAAATAAGATTCTTTTTTCTTATAAAAATGTTTTTATAGAAACATAAAAGTGAATATATAAAAAAATCTTTTATGAGATATATACATATATATATATATACAATTTTTTAAGAATATTAAATATATTCGTAGAGGACCAGAAGGGACATGTTTTGAAGGTGGAGTATTTCCAGCGAAATTGATATTTCCATCCGATTATCCACTTAGTCCACCAAAAATGCAGTTTACTTGTGAAATATTTCATCCAAATAGTTAGTATCTTGTCGTATAAAATAATAAATTTGTTTTATAGGTAATGTATATGTATAATTATTATGAATATTTTATCTTCATATAGTTTATGCAGATGGAAGAGTATGTATAAGTATTTTACATGCTCCTGGCGATGATCCTATGGGATATGAGAGTAGCGCAGAAAGATGGAGTCCAGTACAAAGTGTAGAAAAAATATTGTTAAGCGTAGTGAGTATGCTAGCTGAACCCAACGATGAAAGTGGAGCAAACGTTGATGCTGCAAAAATGTGGAGAGAAGATAGATCTGAATTCGAGAGAATTGCACAGAAACTCGTTAGAAAAACTCTTGGAATTCCATCTTAATAAATTATTTATCTTGTTAATTTAATTTTATTTAGAAGTAATACTGAAGAAAAGTGGCTTATCTTTCTCTACTATTTTCTGTTTGAATCCATATAATAATATTTATTTTAAATAAATATGAAGCAGACCATTGTCTACTTTTGTCTATTATTTATGTATATAATGATATATAAATCACTTTAAAAAAATTCAACTAGCCAAGAAATGTTTTTATTAATACAAATATAATTATTGGAATTATACACTAAATGATTATTTTGTCTATTACTTATTAGGCAATAAATATTATTTTATGCGTGAATTAAACTTTCCAATTAAATACAATTGCTTTTATATTTTATGTAGTATATTATAATGCAAAATAATAAAGTAAAAAATGATTGTCTTAATAGTTCATTATATTATTTTGTTTGTTGTAAATTGTATAAACGTATATATAGGAAGGTGTACATTTTGTGTTTGATGTAACTATTCTTATCTATCTATTATAAAATATAAACAGTTATAATTTTGAAAATTGTATTTTATTTTCATCATGATAACATTACAATACAAATGTGAATAATGAAATACATACCATTTTTTATGTTTTATGTGTTTCTGTTTTATATTAATATTGTATTAATAACAGACAACTTATAACTTGTGCTGAAATACACATTTTTGTTGAAATAAAATCATATTTTTAAATAATATCAAAGAAAGATAAATTACACAGATAATAGTTTTAAAGTTTAAAAATTATTGTTCTCAATATTGACATAAAATTGATGTCATATATATTGAAATTTCTCATAGGTCTTATTTTATTGAAGCAGGATTGTTTTAATTATTATTTCATATAATATATTTTATATAATTTAATAGTTTTTATGACTCAACTGTTGACGATAATATTCTTCTTGCAATTATAACATCAAATTTTTTGTCACAATTTGATTTAGAAACTTATTGAGTCAGATACAAATTCAGAATATTCATATTATGTATTTAGCAGAAACAATATAAATCATAGGAACAAGTGAAACAATACAATAATATGAAAAATAAAAAATACTTCTTCATGCTATATTAATAAAAATATTCTACTCTATAGTTTTAGCAATTTTATAGTAACTTATTTGTGCAACTTAAGTTACTTGATTGCCAATTTTGTTATTATCTCATATATATATTATAATTTATATTTAATGTATTACTTTTCCCTAAAAAATTTAACACTCCGTTCGTAAAAAGCCGATTATTATGTATTTCACCCTGACAACAATCGAACTTGGTGACAAAATATATTAGACTAGAGAAGCCCACATTTACATTTACATATATAACTTTAAGATATTATTATTATTATTATTTGTTAAAAATAATTCTTATTAAGATAATGACAACACTAATATTTTTAAAAGTTTATTTCATTTCTTTCGCACAAGCTATGATATCTTTTGGATTGTGTTTACAAAATAATTGAAAATAAATATAAGTTTGCATATAGATATTTATTAAGAAACAATACTGAAATCCAACTTAAAATGCAATATTTATGACTAGCATTTGTTGATTACACTTAACAGACGATTATCAATGTTATCAGTTCTCTAGTCAAAGTACAACATGCATTTAAACCATTTTTAGTTTTATCAATTAAATCAATTGCTAAACAAGTCACTATTACTATTTGGAATGTTTATATTATTTTCGGTCTTATATAAGTTTGTTTTCATCAATCTGTATTATAAATTTCAAACTAATTTATTTTTGTTAATATTTAATTTAAAAAACTTTGTAAATGTGTAAAAAAATGCATTGCATCTTAATCATAATATTCATATATAACAGATATAAGAAGTGACCAAAATTATTTCAAAATATTTTATATAGCACTTAGCAAAACTTTTGCATATTTTTATTTATATGCATTTTATCCTTTTAATAATAAATAAAGTTATATTCTCTTTATATTGTATTTAAAAATAATATACACGAAATAACAAAAATATTCCAAACAATAGTAATTAGTGACTCACCTTGCATGTATTAAATAAATTCTTTTAGATATATATTATGTCTGAACACATTATTGCTTTCCACTTCATATGTAATGTTACGTATGCATTTTTATTATACGTTGTGTATTAAAGAACGATTTATTCTTATAATTATAGAGAGACAAATAATAAAATATATATAAGTACAAATTTTAATTTCTTGTGTAATAAATAATAAATAAGTTTCATATCTCACTTTTGTGTAAAAATGCTTAATTATTTCAAATATATATAATAATCTAATTAATGCACCATATGAAGTCATATATGATCATCAAGAAATATGCTAAAAAATATATTGTGAATTTAAAAACATAAAAATATAAAACTTTTTGTAATTAACTTGTATTATCCTTTGTATTTGTATTATATTAAATTAATAAAATGTTGTACTTTGAGTACAGTTACTAACTTTGGTTTGTTCAAGAATAAAATTTTATTCTGTGCCAAGCAATTATAATGATACAATGAATATCCTTTTGCAAAAGTATTTCTTTATTAATTTAAAACATATATACTCAATAAAATGAGTAAATAACAAATATGCAGTAAGAAACAGTTACATGATTTGATAAATAAGAATTTGTAACTAAGATTTATAATATACGATTCTTCTGCATTTAAAGGAAATTTATTTATATCAATTACTACATTTTGTGCTTTATAAATTTTATAAATAATCTATACAATACAATTGTAAATTAATATCTGTTTTTTCTACTTTGATATATTGCAATTATAAATATTTATATGTATGTACAACATAAAAAAAAAATAAAACACAAAAAACTTACTGCTTGGCATAGAATGCTACATATTATGATGTTATGAATAATAAACAAGTACTATTAAATAAAATAATTACACTGTTTAGTAACACTAAGTTTCGTACAAGAACAAATATGTGCAACATATATTAATGTCAATTACAGTCACTATAAAATGTTACTAATTTCATTCTATATACCTCCCTTCGTGGTTGAGGTACTCAGGTGCCTGTAACCATTAACTATACGTACATGCTTCTCATATTTGTTAGAATTAGACCTTTCAGATAATCTTATAATATGGATCATATTGGAAAATCTACCACACGAATACTGGGTATAAAATCGATGTGCTACTCTAAAGTTCATGAGATGCAAACAAAATTCTGAGCAATATATGTGTATAGCCTTGCTGCTCTTTGATTACAAATCTGGACATATAATTTGCGATTTCATTATGATAAATTTAATTATATAGATCTTATAGAAGTGAATAAATTAAATAAATGCATAATATGATATTACATTATCATACTAAACAGATGCAACAAAACAACAACGCATGATTTAGCATATTTTTCAACATCAAGTGTACATCTTGTATAAAAACTTTTTTTTGAAAAATCTATTATACTACTCATATTTCTGTGTAAATTCTATGTAACATCAAGGAATAAAAACTTTTTCCTTTTTAAGGGGTTTATAACAATCACAACTTATGTTATTACATAACAAGAGGAAAGTTTGATTTACAGAGTTTGCCTTTTCTGAAATAAATATAAGATATTGAAAAATATTATAAGTTATAGAAGGTTTACTTATTTAATTAATTATATTCCTTACTTTTGCAAATCATAAATGATCAATTTAATATAGATTTTCAAAATTTAATTTAACAAAATAAATTAAAAGAAAGGAAAAGAAATATTTTTAAATAAGTATTACCAATTTGAATCGTAAGGAATAGTTGTGCATGAAATTTATAATTTTAGTGATATAACTTAGTAAAAATTAATCAAATGTATCACATTGTTTTTTTGTCAACTTCCATTGATCATAAAAAGCATTTGATAACTCTGGATATTTTAATTAAATTATTTAATATAAGAAATAAAAACTGTTTAATTTTATATAGCACCAATCATTAATTTTTTTAGAATTAATTTACCATTATGTCCAAACTTTGATAAAACTGTTCACTTGTTAAATTTTGTTTTATCTTTGATGACTACAATATCTTTAAATCTATTATTTATTTTTTCATTGAATTTTTCTCATTAAGTTATTTCGTTTGTAAATCTTGAGAATATCTTTTGAAAAGTCCGAAGCACATTTTTTCTTTTTTTTTTTCTTTTTTCTTTTTTTTCCCCAGTTGACTTCATGACATAATATATCTCGAGAAACGTTATAACATAGTATTGATCTAAAATGTTATATAATAGCTTGTACATGTATCGTAATCGGAATTCTGTAATCAACTGTTCATAGATGATTATTTCAAAAAATGAAATAATCCAAAAATAGAAATATGTTTCAAGTTTGTCCATAAAATGTGCTCTTTGCATATATTTATATACTTGAAAATTTTGCTTAGCCAATGAAATTCTATTACTCTTAAGTTAAAACCCTTTAGACTGGAAGGTAGGATTGAAATATGGCACAAATTATCATCAAATCATCGATCTGTTATTATAAATAAATATTGTGCACTTATTATATCGTATGTAATGTTATCTTAGACAACTATCATAGATGACAAAAAAAAAGGAACTTAAACATAAATCATTATACGAAATTGGCCATACTAATTTTATAAGTTTGCTAATCAAAATGAAAAATGAGCACTATCATAGATAAATTATAATAAATTTAACAATCATCTGACAGCCCAATTACGTACATTTAATGTACTAATGTTGTTGCCAATTTGAGATCAAAATTACTTTTTAAAAGATTGATGCTGATCATATCGCATCTTACGCGTCTTATAGGCTATATGTAGTCTTTCTATAGTACTCTGTAATTTTCCTCTATTATTTTTAATCATAAATAATTGTATAAATTATTTTCTATAAATTCATACAGAGAACATTTACTACCTTTCAATACAAATAAAAATTGTTTCGATATTAGAAAATTGAAGGTCAATATGCAGTATACATGAACATTCCTTAATCACAATATCCACTTATAAAGTCATACACCAAAATTGTAAAAACAATAATCACAGATGTAAACGATGAAGCATACTTCAATTACCCTTACCGGCAACTCCTAATTTATAATACTTATGTTTCTTGCACAAGATAACATTGTCTTAAGTTTCTTTGTTAGCACTAAACATTTGGCATATACACACCAAGATGAAAAGTAAGA